GGGAGGGGGTGCCGAGGAGCTGGAGGGGGGGTGCCGTGGGGGAGGGGGTACTGAGGAGCTGACTCTGGGGTGCCGTGGGGGGAGGGGCCGGTGGTAGCCTGGGGAACGGCACTCTTACTACTGCGCAGCCTGCAGAGCCGCCCCCCTCCAGACCCCGAACTCCGCCACCGTCTCCTAGCAACGTCTGGGGGGGCTGGCGCTGGGGGGCACGAGTGAGCGGGGAGGCGAGCACAGAAAAGCACCAACCGCCGCCCCCAGCTATTCAGCTTTGTGGCTCAGGCTCGGATATGGCCAGGCCCATGTCCCGCCCCCACTGACCCACCCGACACCACCCCCTAAGCCCCCCCTCCCTCCCTGGGGTGTCTGTCCCAGTCTCCTCACTTCAATCCCCCTCCCGCCCTGGCTCCAAAGCCCCTCATCCCATCCCCTCCTCTCTGCTGCAGAGCTGCTCCTAGAGCTAATGCCCGAGCCGATGCTAGCTGGGGACGCGCTGGGAGCTGCTGGCCTTCGCCCCCCGCGGGCCCTACGTGACACCCTCCCATAGACGCACCAAGGCGAGGCATCACAGCCAGTGAGCCTGGCCAGTGCCTCCCACTGCAGCCTGGCTTGGGGGCGGCCTGCCAGCTGGGCACTGCTTGTCTGGGTGTGGGAGACCCCTGCCCGCAGCCCATGGGAAGGGATGCGGAGCAGCTGGGGAGTGTCTGGGACAGGACGGGGGCAGGGGCTGTCCGGCCTCGGGGGGTGCTACGCCAGCACCATGACGGGCGACAGCCCCGAGAGCTGCCGGGTTGGGCCCTGGAGAGCACAGGCTGAGCGGGCGACTCACCATCAGGTCGGTCCGGGCTGAGAAGGCCTGGATGTAGGAGCTGTAATGGGCCTCGTCCATCTGGTTCAGGATGGCTGCCATGCAGGCCACGTAGTGACTCTGAGGAGAGACAGCCCCGGGGAGTTAAACTGGATATAAACTGGACATTAGGAAGTTTAGACTTGAAATTAGACGAAGGTTTCTAATCATTCGAGGAGTGAAGTTCTGGAACAGCCTTCCAAGGGGAGCAGTGGGGGCAAAAGACATATCTGGCTTCAAGACTGAGCTTGATAAGTTTATGGAGGGGATGGTATTGTTATAGAAATTTCTGTCCGTTCCAGCTGAGGAATAAGGAGAGGCGGACACAGCTAATCAAGCAAGGAGCCCCGGGAGGGGCGATCCGTTTATTTCAATTGCAATTGGGTTCGAGCTCATAAGTCAGCAAGAACAAAGAAAACACTTACACCAAACATTATATGCAGTTGACTATGATAATCTATTGCTCTATGATTGGCCAAAATTTGCTATCATTACCATACAGAATTAGCAAGCTACATGTATCTGCCCCTCTTATGACCCCTTATTGTTCATCTACTTGCCCCCTCCTCCTTGCTTATTTTGCAAACCAAGCAGTTAGGTATCTGCAGGACACAGGCTCAGAAAGTTCCATTGTCTGCAGGTTTGGAGTTTGGCTACATTTCCTCTCGAAGGAACTTCCTGGGTTAAGACAACCTATAGCTGACCCTGTGTGTACGTGACAAATTTGCCCCCTGGCAGTTAAGTAGAATAATTTTATATCAGTATGATGGATAGCCTCATTTTGGCAATTAATTGATCTTTCACTATTAGCAGTAAATATGCCCAATGGCCTGTGATGGGATGTTAGATGGGGTGGGATCTGAGTTACTACAGAGAATTCTTTCCTGGGTGCTGGCTGGTGAGTCTTGCCCACATGCTCAGGGTTTAGCTGATCGCCATATTTGGGGTCGGGAAGGAATTTTCCTCCAGGGCTGATTGGCAGATGCCCTGGGGGGTTTTTGCCTTCCTCTGCAGCGTGGGGCCCGGGTCACTTGCTGGAGGATTCTCTGCACCTTGAGGTCTTTAAACCACGATTTGAGGACTTCAATAACTCACGCATAGGTTAGGGGTTTGGGTGGGTGAGATTCTGTGGCCTGCGTTGTGCAGGAGGTCGGACTAGATGATCATAATGGTCCCTTCTGACTTTAAAGTCTATGAGTCAACAGGACAGATGCTGAGTGACCCAGGCCTTGGGGTGCAGCGAACCAAGCGATTGCTCTCTGGTGTCCCCTGGCCTGACCCCCGGCCTCAGCCCGCCCATAGAATCATAGGACTGGAAGGGACCTCGAGAGGTCATCTAGTCCAGTCCCCTGCACTCATGGCAGGACTAAGTATTATCTAGACCATCCCTGACAGGTGTTTGTCCAACCTGCTCTTAAAAACCTCCAATGATGGAGATTCCACAACCTCCCTGGGCAATTTATTCCAGTGCTTAACCACCCTGACAGTTAGGGAGTTTCTCCTAATGTCCAACCTAAACTGCCCTTGCTGCAATTTAAGCCCATTGCTTCTTGTCCTATCCTCAGAGGTTAAGAACAATTTTTCTCCCTCCTCCTTTTATGTACTTGAAAACTGTTATGTCCCCTCTCAGTCGTCTCTTTTCCAGACAAAACAAACCTAATTTTTTCAATCTTCCCTCATAGTCATGTTCTCTAGACCTTTAATATTTTTTGTTGCTCTTCTCTGGATTCTCTCCAATTTGTCCACATCTTTCCTGAAATGTGGCACCCAGAACTGGACACAATACTCCAGTTGAGGCCTAATCAGCGTGGAGTAGAGCGGAAGAATTACTTCTCATGTCTTGCTTACAACACGCCTGCTAATACATCCCAGAATGATGTTCGGTTTTTTTGCATTTCTAGGGTACCTGTCAATTAATCACAGTTAACTCAAGCAATTAACTAAAAAAAATTAATCACGATTTAAAAAATTAATAGTGATTAATCGCACTGTTAAACAATAGAATACCAATTAAAATGTATTAAATATTTTTGGATGTTTTTCTACATTTTTGAATATATTGATTTCTATTACAACACAGAATACAAAGTGTACAGAGCTCACTTGATATTATTTTTTATTACAAATATTTGCATTTTAAAAATGACAAACAAAAGAAATAGTCAACCTTCTGCTGGTGGCAGCTGACTCAGATGATGAAAATGAGCATGCATCAGTCTGCTTTGCTTTGGATCGTTATTGAGCAGAACCCATCATCACCATGGATGCATGTCCCCTGGAATGGTGGTTGAAGCATGAAGGGACACATGAATCTTTAGCGGATCTGGCACGTAAATATCTTGCAATGCCAGCTACAACAGTGCCATGCGAACGCCTGTTCTCACTTTCAGGTGACATTGTAAGCAAGAAGCGGGCAGCATTATCTCCCGTAAATGTAAACAAACTTGTTTGTCTGAGTGATTGCCTGAAGTAGGACTGAATGGACTTGTAGGTTTTACATTGTTTTATTTTTGAATGCAGTTATTTTTTGTACATAATCCTACATTTGTAAGTTCAACTTTCATGATAAAGAGATTGCACTACAGTACTTGTATGAGGTGAACTGAAAAATACTCTTTTTTTGTTTTTTACAGTGCAAATATTTGTAATTAAAAATAAATATAAAGTGAGCACTGTACACTTTGTATTCTGTGTTGTAATTGAAATTAATACATTTGAAAATGTAGAAAACATCCAAAAATATTTAAATAAATTGTATACTATTATTGTTTAACAGCGCGATTAATCACGTGATTAATCACAATTCATTTTTTTAATTGTGCAATTAATCACGATTACTTTTTTAATCGCTTAACAGCCCTAGTCATTTCTCATTTTGTACGTGTGCAATTGATGGCTCCTTCCTAAGTGGAATACTTTGCTTTTGTCCTTATTGAATATCATCCTATGTACTTCAGACCATTTCTCCAGTTTGTCAAGATCATTTTGAATTCTAATCCTGTCCTCCAAAGCACTTGCAACCCCACCCAGCTTGGTATCATCCGCCAACTTTATAAGTGTCCTCACTGTACCATTATTTAAATCAGTGATGAAGATATTGAACAGAACCGATCCCGTCAGGACCCCACTCGTTATGCCCTTCCAGCATGACTGTGAACCACTGATAACTACTCTCTGGGAAGGATTTTCTAACCAGTTTTGCACCCATCTTATAGTAGCTCCAGCTAGGTTGCATTTCCCTAGTTTGTTTATGAGGTCATGCGAGACTGTATCAAAAGCCTTACTAAAGTCAAGATATACCACGTCTACTGCTTCCCCCCATCCACAAGGCTTGTTACCCTGTCAAAGAAAGCTATCAAGTTGGTTTGACACAATTTGTTTTTGACAAATCCAGGCTGATTGCTACTTATCACCTTATTATCTTCTAGATGTTTGCAAATTGATTGCTTAATTATTTGCTCCATTATCTTTCCGGGTACAGAAGTTAAGCTGACTGATCTGTAATTCCCCGGGTTGTCCTTATTTCCCTTTTTATAGATGGGCACTAGATTTGCCCTTTTCCAGTCTTCTGGAATCTCTTCCGTCTTCCATGACTTCTCAAAGATAATCGCTACTGGCTCAGATATCTCCTCTGTCAGCTCCTTGAGTGTTCTAGGATGCATTTCATCAGGCCCTGGGGACTTCAAGGCATCTAATTTGTCTTAGGGCTGGTCTACACTGGCAATTTACAGCGCTGCACCTTTCTCGCTCAGAGGTGTGAAAAAACACCCCCCTGAGCACAGCGAGTTGCAGTGCCAGTGTAGACAGTGCCCCAGCGCTGGGAGCTGTGCCCCTCGTGGAGGTGGGTTTTTTAGAGTGCTGGGAGAGGCCATGGCAGCACTTTAACATTGCCAGTGTAGACAAGCCCTAAATGTCCTTTAAGCGGTAAAGGCTAAAATCTTTTTCTTTAAAATAATTAAGCAGGGTTTAACCATAAATTAAATAAAGATGGAGATGGAGCTAACACATCTGTCTTTGGGCCTGATCCTGCAAAAGCCTGCCCATCAGACTAACTTTACTCATGTGAGTACATTGAG